ATGACCTGTGATGAGACAGTTACTGTCAAATGTAACCTGTAACTGTGGTGGTGAAATGGAAGTTCCAAGAAAACAAAGAAGCAGAGGGAAATAAAAGGAAAACAAATGGAAGCAGTATAATTCTGATACAGTTTTTCCTAACCTGTTTTGCCAGAAGGCTTCCAGAGTGGAGTTCTGCACAGATAGAATTTGTTTCCACTGAACCCTTGAAAGAATCTTTTTAAATAGGTCAAATACAGTTTCCTTGCTTTAAAGTTATATATCTCTCGCTATTTATGAAACTGTAAGCAACCTTGACAACAAACAAACTGATCTGAGTTCCTGAAAATATGCAGTCATGAGGGTGTATTTTTGCATATGGTTCTGTTGTCTTTCAGTATTTAGTGTGTTTTCACATGTGTTGAGGAAGGGAATAAATCCAGAAAATTTGGAATAAAGTTTACTTTTAAACAATAATAGAGGCTTTTACTTGGACAGCTACTAATATAATTTTTCTTGCTATTATTGCAAGCTGACATTGTTTTCTGTTTGAAGCTTATCATGAAGCATGTTGGTTTTTTTCTTCCCCCTTTTTTTCTGCTTACTTTTATTGTTTTGTTTAATAGAGGCCCGAAATTCTTCTTGAAAAATAATTTGCTTCCGTGTGCCTATGCAAGTAGCATAAAGCAGATTTGGTGGCTATAATTTGTTTCTGTCACTTAAAGTAGAACTTTACCTTCATCAAGGTTACTTCAGATTAGTTTCACGTTTACTCTCAGAATAAATGTGCATTGATCTTCATATATGTCTGATAGTTTTCCTTTCTTTGGGCAAAATAAAAGAAATGTGGCATAATTTGTTGATGATCTAGAAAAAATGTTTTTGAGACAAGAATTTTACCTACATACATTTGAAATGCAACTATGATTTAGCAAAATTAAAACTTAGCTAGTTACATTTTTTGATGTAACCATATAGTGGACACAATCTTATATCTTATCTTACATAGTTTTGTTGCTAGTCAGGATAGAAAATAAAACTGCAACTCTGACGTGACCAAGGATTAGAAAACGGAAAAGTCATTGCTCCCATGAGAAATGTAACATGCATTTGTCATTGGTGGTAACTTCCCATTTGGATGTTCTGAGCATGCATGAAAAGTGCCTTTTTACTGCACAATTTACTCTGATTTTGCAGTTAGTGTCAAGATCCTTTCTACCCTAAGCTCACACCAAACTTGTGTTTCAATCCTTGGCTTTGAAAATCATCTTGTACATGACTTAAAAATGTAAGGGATGCGGTATTTCAGAGCTGGGTTGCCTTTGGCAAATGTGTTTCAAAGCCAGGTTTCTGGTGTCCATAGCAACCTGTGGGAGAGAGAGGAGAGGCTGGGCCCAGACGGGGAGAGACACGCAAAGAGGAATTTGGAATTTGCTAAGTGAGAAAAGCGCTTGAGGTTGAAAGAAGTAGCAGATCTGAGATGAGAGGCAACAGTGGGCTGATTAAAGAGGGTGAAGCAGAGGTCGTAAATGGGAAATGGGTTGACACTTTTATGCCTAATAGAGCATACTAATTTTAAAAGACCTGAAATACCACCCCAAAACTATAAGAAAATGTTGGTGAAAATTACTGTCGGTTTTCCCGTTTCCCTGTGTGTGATGGTATGTGGAGCAGATAATAGTGTTTCCCTGCTATTGTTTCTTCCATTAGCTCATGGAAAATGTTTGTGCATCTCTTTTATTTTCTCTCCTTAAGTATATATATTGCATAATCTGAGGCCTTATTTCTTTTCCTCTCTATCCTGTTCTCCCATGAGCTCCTTATTTTATTCACTGCACAGGCTTACTTTTGAATATGTGTTGTGGAAGGTGGAAGAGCTGAGTGAATGAAATAGGACTGTATGAAGAGTGTGTGGTCCCACATCGGGGTTTTAAAATTGTGTTCTGCCTCATAAGTCTGTTTCCTTAGGAAAATTTTGAGAACCATTTATTCACCGCACAGGCTTACTTTTGAATGTGTTGTGGAAGGTGGAAGAGCTGAGTGAATGAAATAGGACTGTATGAAGAGTGTGTGGTCCCACATCGGGGTTTTAAAATTGTGTTCTGCCTCATAAGTCTGTTTCCTTAGGAAAATTTTGAGAACCAGTAAATTTGCCTAGGTGTATGTCTAATGTGGTAGAACATAAAATATTGTTACGCTCCTGCATAAATTTATGGTAGATTATTGTAACGTTTTATATATTCCATATCTTGTATACTGTACACACTGCCTGTCCTGTTTCAGAAAGAGCAGTGTGTAACTGGAAAGGGTAGAGAGGAGGACAGGGTGACTGGCCAGAGAATGGCTTTTGTGTAAGAGGTGGTTGATGGGAGTAGAATTCTTTAGTTTTGAGTCAAGGTAACTGAAGGAAGATACAATATAGGCATCAAAATCAGGACTGACATGAAAAGTGAAGATGAGTGTTTGTTTACTGCCTTGTATAATTAAAAATCGGTGGATACAAAATATAATTAGCAGGAACAGGCTTAAATGAAAGGATATATCTTCTACTCTGATGCATAACTAAGCTGTGGAACTCCTTGCTTCTAGGTGCTAAAAATCTGTACGGAATCAAAAGTAATTTTCATGGAAGAAGATTTGATTAACAGCTTTAAATCTAAGATTCCATATATGACTCCAGAAGTTCCTGATTCAAAAATCACTGAATATCTGGAGAAATTGTTTATAAATACCGCTTTTAATGATGCATGCTTATTCTATTCCTGTGTCCCTCCTTTACTATCCTAGTGATACTTGCTAATAGCCACAGATAAAACGCTGGACCAGATGGATCTTTGGTCTCACATGTGGTGGCTGTTAGTATGTACTAGTTATGATGGTGAATGCTTTTTAAAAAGCAGAGGAAGGAATCTGGTAGTTCGGTATTCAGAGAACTGTTTCAATAATGCATGGTACATTTGAAAAATTAAGCCACACATGAAGGAGAAAACAAATTTTAAGAGCTACTTACAGAGACCCTTTATTAGGTACGTTCAAGGAATGCAACCAGATTTATGCAGAACTAAATTTAATGTGTGATCATAGCATGAGCTGAGAATTTTTCTTTTTTTTAAAGAGAGTGAGGCAGCTGACTTAAGACTGAATGTTTTATGAATTGAAGCTTAGAGTCCAATGGATATTCTTGAGGTTTGTGTGGGGTGTGTGTGGTTTTTTTTTTGGGGGGGGGTATTTTGGGGGATTTTTTTTTGATTGAGTTATTTTTTTATTTTCCTTTTTTTTTTTTACAAAAAGATACAAATTCATATGCCAGCTGTTGCTTTCCATGTAGAATATTTGCTGTGTGGTGTTGGTTGTGTAGAGGCTTGTTCAACTGGCCTTAGCTAGCTATTAATACCTTTTCAGCAGCAACTTGGAAGAGTGTTGTTTTTTTTGTCAAAGAAAATAAAAGGAATGCAGTGCTGATGCATGGTTTTAAGTGTTTTGCTGTATAAACAATGTCTAGCGCATATCCTTTTGACCAATAGACATCACATAATCTTAGTGTTGATTTGATCTTAAATTCCATGGAATAGTATTTCTAAATACTGTTGGGCATTTTATGATGTTTTACCAAAGCAGTCCTTTGTTGATATCAGGTAAATATAAAATGACATCCCTTCATTTTATGATGTCCTCCACCTCTTTTTCTTTCTTTTTTTTTTTTCCTTTTTCCCCCCTCTCCCTCCCTCCCAAGCTGCATCAGAATGTCACGGTTGTTTCCTCAGTGTAAATTGAATGTATTGTGAAGTGTAGCCTGTGACTAATCGCCTCTTGTTGTCTTTACTTATTAACTGTCTGATGGTGATGTGGTTGCACCACTTTCTACACATGGCCTCAAGGATATGGCATTGTGACACCCGTAGTAAAATATGCAAGGCTTGATTTCAAAAGACGTTTTGGGTTGGAAAGCTAGAGAGGTTGTAAGCTAATATTGTGGCTGTTTTTACCCCTTTTATTTTAATGAATATTAGGTGGTAATAGAATAAGGTGTACCTATTTCATGTTTATACATTCTGGTATACAGTTGGTGTTCTAGAGGCTATTTATTTTCAACTGCTCTCTAGTTTTGTTGAATTAATGTTATCCTACAGTTCCAGCAGTATGTTTGGAATATGGCTTAGCAATGTTTTTTACTGAAAATGCATTTAAAGTTTGTTAAATATCAATGTGTTACAAGTCAGTTTGGTGCATTACCACATTAAAATACTCTGATGGCACACTGACTTTTTGAGTTGCATGCATCTTTGTCTTTCTAAACAATATAACAAAGTGAAACAAGTGCTGGACTGGTAGTGGTTATTGCTAAGTGTGTAATTTACAAGTTATGTAGAGAGAGTAACTGTGTGAGTGTCTTAATTATTAATTGGTGTCTTGATAGCTGTGAAATAGTTCTGTGACGAAAATATTTTCTGGGGTCTTTATCCTTTTAAAGATAAGATACTCCCTCTTTCTTTCTCCCTGCTGGTTCCCAGTGAAACCCCAAATATTGTCTTATGAAATGAGATGTAATTTAGTTTAGGGACAGAAACTTGATATTCTCATGGCTTTGTTTTGTTATTGTGGTGATAATTTTACAGGAGAAACAGGAAACGCAGAGTGGTTTCTCTACAGAGTTTCCCAAAATAATGAATGGAGTTTACCAAAAGTTTGTGGGTAAATTTTTGAAACCTCAGATAACTCAAGACCTAAAGCTTAGAGTGGTGAGCAGCACCCCCTTTGACAACTGTAAATTTTTAAGGCGATCAATTGAAAGTGTGTGAAATTATTGGTCATTTTAAATCTGTAGCTTGTAGGTAGAATCTAGCAAACTAGTTGGAGTCTATTTAATTGGAACAAAGTATGTAGTATAATATTTTACTCATGAAAATACTTGGTTCTTCACAAACTATTTTATGCATGCACATGTTCTATGGCTATGCAGGTGTTCAATAATGCTTCTTCAGCATTTCATAAATTAATTCAAAATTTTATTTTTTTAGGCACTTATAAGAAGAAATAGGAACCTTTTCTCAAGCTGAAGACAAAGTAAAAGAAAACCGTATCATGTGTTAGAATACTGAAGAGTGACATTTATTGGATTAGTAAATTTCTGGATTGCAAAGCAAAAGAAAGAAGAGGCTGAAAATGGGGAGAAAGAAAATACAGATCACAAGAATAATGGATGAAAGGAACAGACAGGTGAGAAACAAGGAGTCTGCATGAACAAGTTCATCGGTAGTCCTAAAAATGAATGGAAGCTTTGAGTACATTCATCTTAGTTCAGCTTCAGAAGAGTGAATTTTATCTTCATGTATCTACAGATGGCATTACCAGAATACAAATAAGAAATGTCTCAATGATTTTACTACTGTTTGAGGGGGGAAAAATGTTATTTATAAGTAGTATCAATTACTACTTTAAATCAAATTCACTGTAAAATTACTGTTCCTATTTAAATGGTACCCACAAATTGTGTTGAAACAGACACTTGATCTGATAGTTACTAGGAACACTTAGTAGTTCTATGAAGATAGAGAAAGGATTAGAAATTCAGAAAGTATGTGATAAAAGTATTTGCTGCAGCCTCTTTGACAGAGGAGTTTGGCATATATGTGGACAATGATCTACAGTGGTTTGGGTATAGTAACAAATTTTGTTAACATGATTCTATTTAAAAGCATTGATTTATATTCCTTGTAAGAGCTGTTTGCTACAACAGTCTCTGAAAATTGTCAGTCAAAAGGGAAGAGTACTCAAAAGTGTGCACTGTTTTAGGGAAAGTTGCTTACTTGGCTGCTCTTGCCCTAATGAAGAGGTGTCCTGTGAACTTGAAAAGTACCAGAAGTTGATGACTCTGCAGAAGTAGTGTTTCCTCTTAACTTCTAAATTGCTATAATGAGATATGAAATAAAATTTTAATGGGCTGTTGAAATGTATAGTGGGATATTTTGGAAGCTATCATTTTTAAGGAAAAGTATTGTAGGAATGACTTGCAATCTTCAAGAATAGTTATAGTGGCTCAGACCAAAGATGCTGCTAAGGCAGTATCTTTTGTCCAGTGATGGTCATAAGCAAATAAGTGTAGGATGGAGACACACATGTTATGCTATTCTGTAATCCTCTTCCAGCTTCTAACTATTCTTAGCTCAGGGATTTCCTGAGCTGGATGTGCTTTCTGTATATTTAGTAACCGTTAATGGATTTTTTTGTTGTTGTTTTCCCCGCCCCTTGCCAGTGAACTTGTGCAGTTATCCTTTGAGCTTTTATAAAGTTGCAGCATTTACAACATCTTTTGGCTAGGAATTCCTATAAGTCTATTACCCGTTGTTTCAAGAAACACCTTTTCACTTACACTTTGTCATAGTTCTGCTAGTTATTTAGCTCTTGTACGGAAGAGGCAACTGTCACTCCCTATCTAGTCTGTCCATCTTACTTGTTATTCCGTGGACCTCTGCCATGTTTTCTTATTTTCCCTTAAAATAACTTTTTCAAGCCAAAGCACCTTAGCTTACTTGTTTTAATACATAATTTATTCCACACCTTTGACCATTCTTGCTGCTTTCCCCTGAACCTTCTTGAGAATTGCTACGTTGTTTTTGGTGGCAAAGGGACCCAGAACCGAGCAGTGTTCAAGATGCATACAGAATATAGAGTTATATAGTGGCGTACTAATGTTTGTTCTCTGTTCCCTTCCTAGAATTTGATTTGCTTTTTAACTTCTCCTGAGCACCAAGTTGATGTTGGGGTAGGGTCAAAATTCCATGAGACTGTCTTGCTGCTGACACATCAGCTCAGAGCCCATTGTTTTGTTTGTGAAATCAGGATTGTTTTTCTCCCTGTATCACTTTAAAGCAATGTAAAAGGCTGAGAAGGCTATATATAGCAAGAAAAGTATTATTGGAGTTTGGGAGAAAGCCAAGTATTGTGTTTGAACAGCTTTAATCACACAGTGACTGTATGTTTGATGTAGATAAATGTCTTAAGTACATGTAGTAAAAGTAGATGAATTAATATCTTCAGTTCTTTCAGATCTTGCTCTAGAACTTCAGGCATGTTGATGAGGTGGAAATTGATCTCCCTCCTCCCTCTTTTTTTTTTTAACTAACTTGGAGTAAATTGGACAATCTTGGTTTTGTTCTACTTGAAATATTGTTATACTATACCCAGACTTTGGTGTGGTGGTTTTTTGTCAGGGAGAGGGGGAGGTTTTTTGTATGTGTAGTTTTGGTTGGGTTTTTTTTTTTGTGTGTTTGTTTTTTGTTGTGTGGGGGTGGGTGGTTGTGGTGTGGTTTTTTTTTTTTTTTAATCTTCATCTCATTGTTCAGGTTGGGACAATGGAGAGGAGGAGAATTGGTGCATTTGTACCAAAGTTTAACCCACTTGTACCATTGTTGTGACTGAAGCAAAATAATGGGGATTAAATTCTAAGTTTTGTTTCTGGCTTTTTTTTGACTAGCACTTTTTTTTGCTTTTTAGTGACTAGGAGGAGGCTTTAAGCTCCAAGTTGAGAATGGAATTAGGCCTGGCTTAGCTTTTTCTGTGGAAACTCAGAGGTGGTAGCATACTGCATCTTCTTTTTAAAAGGTTTTAAAGAGATGAAATAGCTTTTGTTAGTGGAACCAGATTTTTTTTTGTAGAGGTATTGATGGTGTTATTTAACTCCACTGGTGTCCTCTGGTTTTGGTAGCTAGTATATAGAGTTTTAACATAATAAAATGCCCTGATGGACTGGGTATTTATTAGATACTAATTTACTTTGGGAATTTTTTCATTGACCCAGATAAGGAGGGTATTTAGGGTTTGTTTTGCTGAATGGAAAGGGTAGCTCAGTTGTGTTCTGTCAGTCTTTCTGTGGCATACATGGTTGGTTAGTAGGTCACTCATGAACACGCATCTGATGTCCTGTTTAGAAGTTTAGTATGATGTTCAGGTTTTTTTGTTTGAAAATACAAGTAGAATGGGATAGAGCTTTGCCTGCAGAGCAAGTTCATATAACTTATGTGGGAAGAAAAGCTATTGTTTTATCAGAAGCATCTTATTTCTGATGGGATTATATGTGAACTCAAAAGAGAATATATAGACCATTACTCTGGGGGATTACAATTGTCATGAGACTGTCATTGTGTTATTAATTAAGCAGTCTTATCTGCTTGAATGAGCTGTAGAACATTTATCTTCATTAAGCTGAATAGAATAAAGTACAGTAAATTAGATACTAAAGGAGCTCAATCTTGCTGCCTTTGCTCTCTCTTCCTCGCCCATTTTTTGCTAAGCAATATTAGAATACTGCCAAGGAAGCCATTGGCCTGCGTTAAAAATATGTATTTTTGTATGTAGTGTGGTCTTAAATGGCACACTAAATGACAAGGGGGGAGGGAAGAGAAATTTGCACAACTAATTCTGCTGTCCAAGTTCTTAAATGAAATCTGAGTTTATAATTATGTACATTAAAGTAAGGCTTGGACTCCAGTGGTAGTGGGATTTGTGCTAAGCACTGTCCAAACACAAAGCAAGAAAGTGATGCTGGTTGAGAATCTCACAAGTAAAATAGCCTTACAAGAGATGAGAAAGATAACATTTCAGTGGAGAAGTTAAGATCCCTTGTCCAGGATCATACAGGTCCTCAGTGGAACTAAGCCTTAAGTCTTTTTGTTTAATGACTTCTCAAAGTAATATGGCACACACACATCTTGTTTATGATGCCTTTTTCCTGACAAAAACTAAACAGTAGTACCCATCTATACCTGCTCATACTCGGGTAATAATCTCTTAAGTGTCTTCTAATTAAAGTCTCAGAAAAACAACAGTTATTTAAAAGCTACAGTTACCCCAAATTCCCAGAGGAATCCAGACGAAGTAATTCTTAATGTCTCATCCAAGACAGGATAAATAAATCCCGAGTGTTCTGAAAGAAGGCATGCATAAAGTGACAGAACTGCTAAGAGACTTACACAAGATCTTTTTTTAAAAAGCAGCTGTATTTGTATTATATGTGGATACTAAAATTTCCACCTGCGTTTGGGAAAAGTGCAGCCCACTAAAACCTACTTTTGTACTTGGTCAACTTGAGTTGATAACTGAAAATAAAATACTAACGGAAGATGCATTAAGGTAAAGCCTGTCAGATTTTTTGGCATCTTGTCTCACTAATGTATGGTAATTGTTAAACGATAAGTAGGTAAAAAGATCTGCCTACCCTAGTTAAACCTTGAATGTGTTACAGCACTCTTCGATAAAATTGAGAGAGAGTGCTGTATGTTAATGGAGCTTCTCACCAAATGTACTTTAAAAGGGTTGAATAAAAAAGTTACGGTAAGTACTCACTTTTCATCTGAACGTGGATTATTCAGGCCTTACAAAAGGCTCTGTGATTACTGTTTTTTTTTTTTTAAACCCTAAGAAGTTTCTAAGTTAGAAACACTGCACAAGAGCTTGGGTGGAACTCTGGTTATCATAATATGCCTGACATTTCATGTTCTTATCTTTCTAGATCGTCTGTTTATTACTTCCATTCCTACTGTGATGAAGTGTTAACAATCCAGGTTTTCAAAAATCATAGGCACAGTGCATTTTTAGGGGGAGGGGGCATGTGCTAAAACAGATTTTTTGATGGATGTGGATATTGTTTTATAGCTAGAGAGGAGTCTCAGGTCCACAGTACTTTCCAAACATTTGTCCTGGAAGAGTAAAGTATGCATGTACTGTTTTAACGATACAGTTATTGTCAGCATGCTATGTACACAATATTGTTAGTATATCTGTCTGCATCCGTCTGAGACTACTTATGTGGCTGGAAGGATCATATATATTTTGTGTTATGGATAGTATTAAAAAAATAATATGCGTGAGATACTCATCTCTGGAAAAAGTGCCTTGAGGTGTGTATACACAGAATTTTCCCATCCATCTTCCAAAAACTTGATATACACCTGAGTAATTAACAAGTTAAACTATAGAAACCCATAAAACAGGTTTGATTGTTTCTTGTGGTTTACTTCATTCCTATCTTGCAAAAGTATACTGACTATTGTTTGTTAAACGTGTAGGGCATGTAGGTCACTCACCTGTCACAGAGGCGTATACTTTGAATTGTAATATGGGGAAGTGAATATGGCCATAGCCAGAGGTGTTCCACTCAACACTGAAGCTCACATTGAAAGGCTGGATCTGAGAGAGCATCTTTATTTAAAAGGTCTCTGAACATTAACTTCATAGTAGTAGATTAAGTGCCTTTTTGAGACGCTTAGGAGGATGTTTAGTAAAAATATTGTCCTTTGAGAAAAGTTGGCCTTAGCATCAGACCTATCCTTGATTCAACTTGGTGTCGAATACTTTGATACTCTTATTCTTAACTAACTGAAATTTTGTGAAAGGAATAATTTTTTAAAACTTTTTTGCGTAATGGATGGTGATTTTTACAATGTAAGTGTCTTTCCCCCTTCCCTGATGGATAAATGCTCCTTTGTGATCCTCTGTAGTGGATTTATTTCCCCACAGCAGTTCTGATTGGACAGAATGGTTGTTTCATGATGTTCCCAAGTGGCAGAAAAGAAATTAAAAGTATAAGTGAGTCTGATTGGGTGGTTTAATAGCAACAAAATAGGAATATTTCTTAACCTTGCGTAATTGGACATCATATGACATAGTAACAGTGTTGCTTCCACTGATGTTGCTGTTTTCTTTGATTTTACTAGAATTAAGGTTGCGAGCAACTTGTAAACTAGTTACAGAATACCTGCTCATCACAGAAGAAAATAATTGTGATACTTGGAAAGTAAATGTTGATTGAACAGAAGGAAATACAATCAGAGGATTCTACAAACTTTAACTCTTCTTGATAGTTATATAGCCTCTCTTTCGTAGTTATGTACTAGTGGAAGAGTTGGGGTGGGTGTAATTGTTTAGCTTAGTCTAATATAGAGCATTGGCCCTAAAAGTGACACCCAAATATGATAGGCAGTTCTTTTGTTAAGCTTGTACACACGTTCAGTTATGTCGCTTGTTAATAGGAATAGTGTAGGCTCAGTTGGTATATCACTTAAATTCTTGATGATAGTCCATCAAACTCTTGTCATGTGCATAAAAAAAATCATTATTCTTTCTTCTCTAGGTCACCTTTACAAAGAGGAAGTTTGGATTAATGAAGAAGGCATATGAGTTGAGTGTACTCTGTGACTGTGAAATAGCACTCATCATTTTTAACAGCTCTAACAAACTCTTTCAGTATGCCAGCACTGATATGGACAAAGTTCTACTTAAATACACAGAATACAACGAGCCTCATGAAAGCAGAACCAACTCAGATATCGTTGAGGTAACAATTTGAAAAGACACGTCAGCTTTCTTATCTTAATGCTCTATATTGCTCTATATTTGAAGTATTTTAAGGTATTTTAACCAAATGTATTTAATAATTTGAAAACCTTGTCATAAAATGTAAACTACTGCTTTTAGTCTGGTTTTTCTAAGACAGGAAGTTGTCTTTACAGGCATGTTGTTTTCCCATCTGCCCTCCACCCCCTGCCGGTTTCTGGAAAACATGTTTGATTTCAACCACATTTGGCAATGGAAATAGAGGTGTGAATGATGTGGTGTGGTTTTTTTTGTGTTTGGTTTTTTTTTTTTTTCCTGGGGGAGTGGGGGAAGTGTTCAAGGTTTTCAAGGAAAAAATAAGTTGAAAGGAGAATAAAGGTCCAAAGAGTGCCCTCAGCCTAACAGACAATTACGGTTGGCCCCTCCTCTTTTCTGAGGTAGTAGCCACTTTATCACCCAAATGTTGCACACGGATCAAATCAGCTACAGCCTATGCTGCCCCCTGCTCAGCCAAAAAAACCACAAACAAACAAACAAACCCCACAAAAAACGCCAGACAAACAAAAAAGTGAATCTATGGAGCATATGAACTTAATTCAATTTGTTATCCAGTCACTCTGTATGTCATTTAAAATATAGCAGTGGAATGACTGTAGTTTCTGCAGTAGTAGAATAGCATGAATATATTTACTTAAAGGTATTGGTTTCATGTACTTTTATTATGCTTATACTTTAAATAGAAACTCTTTCCAGTGCATGATTTCTAAATTAGGTGCAGTAGAAGTCAAGGATTTTCTTGGCAATTGGAGCCTTTATGCACTGTAACTGCATTTCAGATAAGTCATGTTTCCAGTAGTCCTGTAAATAGACCGAAACAGGTGGCTGACTTAAGTGTTTAATTTAAATTCTGAAGTTGTCTTCCGAACAAATGCCTTGCTTTTTAGGAATGATTTAGGAATAGTGATTAGCCTTGTATAGCTGGAATCTATTGCAAAGGGGATCACAGAGTACAGGGAGGATACTAGCTGATCTTGTAAATAAGTTTTCAAGCAAAAATCACTTTGCCAAAATTGAGAAATAAACAAATGCCTTATAGTTCTTTCTGAGAAGATTCTCTGCTAATTTGTCAACTGCCTTTATGATCAGAAAGAAAACCTCCCCAACTTCTGTCTTCAGTGTTGAGTACTAATGAGAGGGCAATGCAAGCTATGGAGAGTTAAAGGAGTATTACTTAGTCACTGGATTAGTATAAATAAGGAATAGCGACTGTAGAGGAAAGGAAAACCTAATTCTTTCAAGATGAGCTTTTGATTGTGACAGATGTGAATTTGAGATAGGGATGCAAGCAAGTCAGCCAGGCTGATTTTTGTTTTGCATCTAAGGTCTCTTTGTGTTATGACTTGTGGTAATAGTGCTTCTTCACATCCTGAGGACTAAGAATATCTTCCAAAATAATTTCTACGCAAGGCTGCCTGTAGTTTTTTGGTTTTTGGTAGTTTGGTTTCTTTTGCCAGTGTCAAGCGTTTGACCCCAGCAACTACATAAAAAAAGTACACTTAGTACCCAAGCGCATATATGGTTTCTATTCTGGGGGAACATGCAAAGACTCATCTGCAGATTCGTTTTAATTTTTCTCTGCATGTTTACTATATTCTATTAGTGGGGGATTTGGGGCTTTACTACCTGTTTTCATAGTATAATTTAGGAGTGCATCTCCCAGTCTTCAGATTAGCCCTGTGCACTCTTTAGTCTGCTTGAAATGTGGGGGTTTTTTTGTTGTTTGTTTTTTAGGAAAAAGTTATTTGGCCAGAGAGCGGAAAATATATTCTTTAAGTTTATGACTGTTCTGGATAGGAAAGTTAAATCAGTAGGATGAAATATTTACAAGCTCAATATATGTAAGGCAGACTGATGTTTTCTTTGTGTTGGATTCCAGGAAAAAAATTATGCGTACAGTATTTCAGAAAGATACTCTGTGGTTTCCTTTTTTTTGCAGCTGATTGCATTTCAGATTTGCTCCACCTGTATGGTACTTTGTAGTCTATTAGCAATTGTTCTTTAGGCAATTAAGAGATATCATGCATGGTTGGGATTGGATGGTTTGCTTCCCACTGTAAGTAAATAATGTCTTTAATTTAGAAAAACATTCATTTTCCATGGAAAGTTCAGTGGAAAATGATCTACTTTTTATCTTTACAACAGAGCTCAATTGGTTCAGTGGAGAATATGATGTGCTTTGGAGCAGATGCAATGACAGGTCCAGCATAGGTAGGGAGGAACTTGGGAGAAGATATGAGATTGGGAAGAGTAAGCAGTATTTAAATCCTGTATTTTAAGCAGTAGCAAGTTGCCAAAAGCTCAGTGCTTCATGTAATGTTGCCATTGACGGATGCTTGTGGTGTGATAGAGGCGACGTTACAGCACCAGCATTTTGGAAGCATTCTGAAAGAATGACATAAAATGGCTTCGCTTTATTGCGCCTATGTAGAAATACTCTTTTAACAAATAAAAATTATGCGCCCCCACCCCCCCATCTGTCAAATACATACTAAACCAATTTAGCATAAGTAAATCCATTTTATGGAGTTATAGCTGATGTATAGATCTTAGTTAACATTTTAGTAATTCACTTGCCTCCTTGAATATGACAAATGATATTTATTGTGAGGTAAGCTCACCGTGAAAGTAGTCTTGCCCCACTGTGGTCCTGATATGCATGGCAGGAGTGTTTTGTTTTTTTTTTTCTTTTTGCAGTGCTAGAAGGAAAGGTAATTCTACACAGCTTAGAAGCTGTGTAAGGGAAGAAACAAATCTCCTGTTACTTATTTTCAGTACTGGATAGATGGCAATGTTGTAAATGATTAAGTGAGACTGATGAGGTATCTTCCCCTTCTAGTTGCCTCCTGTTCAATTTTGGCGTAGGAATTGCTTTTATGTGCCCAGAGCTTGGTATCTTCTGTTGCTGCTGTTTGTGTGAAAACATAGTAGGAGGGAGAGCGCTGGCATCTTAAATGAATACTAGAATTTTTTTTTGATACATGCCCTTATGTCTTTCACTGTACATGTTACTGGAGATGTGAATGCTCTGTTGCTGTCCTATCCCTATTCTTTTCTAATTTTGTTGTCCCTTTTATGTATTTTTGTTGGCCCCATTTTTCTTTTTAATTTCTGTTAATATTTACTTGTGTCCGTCCCCCCCCTCTTTTCCGCATTCAATTTCTAAACAGTTTACCTATCAATAAATTGTTGGCTTCTTTACCTGTTTCTTGCCAGGGGTTTTGGTCATCATAATTTTTTTTTTCTTTCGTAGCTGCTTGTTAACTAGTAACTGATATGGGTGTAAGGAATATAGTTTTTCAGCCATCTTGACAGAATCATAGACTTTTGAATAGCTGGAATTGGAAGTTACAGAATTTTGTTTCAATGTAAGCTTAGTTTTCTACCTGTTAGTAGTATATTTGGGGATGGTCCATTCCCTGCCATTTGGTACTTTGAAAATTAGTGGAGAAGATCTTGTAACAGATGGCCTGTAACCAGTTTTGAAGGATAATTTGTGTGGCATTTTTGAGCTTGGACTCAACCTCTGTGATCTTTGACTTTTTTGCTGTTTGAATCTGTTTTACAGCACTGGAAAAGAGAGGTGAATAGGGAAAACAGGATTGTTTGAAACATTCAATCTTCAGAACATACACAGGTCTGAAAAAAAATTCCTTGCTTATCGGGATCACGCACAATTGGTCTAGTGGGGTTTTGAGATTAATTTCTGCATTCCTCTGAAATATGGAAGGTGAACACAGCTGATGATGGTGAGCACAGTGAAGTTTTGCTTATGGTTGCTGATCTGACCTTTTAGTAAAAGGCATTTACTTAGGGAATGGTAAGTGTAATGTTTCCTTTAAGCCTCATGAAAGAAAAAAATGTATCTTCTGTTGAAATTCCAAAATAACTTTTTCATACAATTTCAGAAATATAAATTATAATTAAAAAAAAAAGCTTTGTGTCTTGGAGAATATGGTCCTTTTCACATCAGATGAGAAAGATTTTGTTCTGTTGTACAATGAGATTTCATTCGTCTTTATTTTTTCATAGTTATTTGAGTGAAAGCTGGTGCTCTTGCACAGGTTAGATGGACCATACAGGGATAATGAAAAAAGTGAAATTTTCATTCCATATGTGCTTTGAATTCTTGAAATATTAGGATCGTGTATTTAGTTTTACAAAGCCGTAATAGCACAGTTGATTGTTACGCTGAAGTACTGTCTATGATTTGCTGTAGGTGTTACAGCATTTGATGCTTTAACGTTCATGGGCCTTTTTTCTGTAACACGCTATTCTTGACAAGTAATTATTTTTCCTGAAGAAAGTAGTAGAGTACTTCTGCAGAGTAAAATGGGAAAGATTTCAGGTTTTATCAGGATTCTGTATCCATATGGTCAACAAAATCTTTTAATGTATAAAAGACAATTTGAGACCTTGAGCATTCATTGTTTTTTTGATCCAAAGGAAAACAGGGAAATGAACAGGCTCATACTCAATCTTCTTTAGTGTAGGGTGTGTTAACATTATGACAGATTATCTACAAGGTAACACTTCCATGTTGGGTCCTTCTGTCCCTCAAGAGGGCCTCAGAAAGCAGCAGTTGTTCAGTTGTTCCCTCTCTTCCAGCCTCACTTTTTCTGGGAGTCAAGGGCTGAAGAGAGGCTCTTCTCGCTTAGCTTGACTTTTTATCTCTTTTCCATGTTTTGATACGGCAAAACAGGGTTTATTTCACCTGCACTTGGCCGTGGGTGGGTTATGCACGTTCTATCATGTCACCTCATGAAACTGAGGTGATTTCATTTTTAGGAGCCTGCCTAAAACGTGACCTACTTTGTCGGTTGGCGTCTGTGCCCATGAGAATTCTGAGTAGGTGTCAGTTAATGAGCCTCTTCTGTACTGTATAGTTTTATGCCGTGTTCAGTGTAGTATGATGTGCTGTATAAGGCTTAGGTTATCACCCAAATATTGACAGCTATCCTTGAAATACGCAATAACCTGTAATAAAAACCTTGACTAAAATATATA